CCATTACCCACTCCCATCTTACACGGCACAGACCGAGAAATTCCGCGGGGGACTTGCCCCGCCCTCAGCACCGGAGCGAAATCGTCCTCCCCCAGCCCTGCAGGGGCAGGGAAGGGTGTGCTGGCCCCGTTTTCTGAGGAGGGCCTGGGCCCTGGCACACACCCAGGGCCACCCCAGGCAACTGAGGACAGCAGCCAGAGAGGGCGGTCAAGAGGGACTTAGACTTGGCCAGGGCCTGAGCGGCCAAGTGGCCACAGCTAGAACTCTCCTGAGACCCCTCCTCACCTTGGTGTCACCCCCAAACTGCTGCTCGAAGTCTGGCAATCAGATCATCAATAATAAAACAGCTGCCTTCACATCGTCCCTACTGTGTGCCAGGGCCACTTCTAAGCACTTAACATCCAGGAGCTCACTCAGTCCGCCTAACACACCCTACCTGGTAGGCACGATTATTCTTCCCATTTCACAAACGAGCAGACTGAGGCCTGGAGGGGCTGCTTAGCTTATGAAAGGTCAAGAGGAGCCAGGGTTTGCATGTGGCCAGGGCGGCTCCAGAGCCCTGGGGCCTGGGAGGCAGGGAAGCAGGGCCCCCGAGGCTCCCAGCTCCCGGCCTCAGCTGCAACCCCAGCGAGGGCCTGGGGTTCGTCTCCGCTCTCGGGACTCAGTTTCCTCTTCCCGAGACGGGGTTGCGCCAGCCCCGCCCATCGCAGGCTTTGCTTACAAAGGACAGGAAGTTGATCTGAGGGCAGAGGGTGCAGGGAGCCCTGGAACATGGGGAAGCTTGAGCCTCCTCACCTCATGGTGCTAACAAACACCCTCCGCCCCTCTCGGGGGTTCCTGACCCTGCCCTGGGGCTCAGGACACCCCAATAATGTCAGGAGGGGGGGGGTCTGGATTAACGCCCCCTCTACCCATAACTGTTCCTCTCTAGGGCACTGGTTTTTAAAACTCAACCCATTTCACTACTACATCTGAGGGAGAGATTGAGTTATGCCTCAGCATGGCTACATTTAAACATCCTATATAATAAAGAGGTGATATGCAAATTAACCCTCACACCCTCACAAGATGGCTGCCTACAACCAGGTTGGCAAGGGGGTTAGTGAGGGACAACCAAACGACTGAACAGCAGGCTGCATAGGGGTGACTAGGCTGGCGGGGGGGAGCAATTGGGGGCGACTAGGCCAGCAGGGGGGGCAGCTGGGGGCAACCAGGCTGGTAGGGGGGGCAGGCAGGCAGGTGAGCAATTAGGAACCAGCGGGCCCGTATTTTGAGAGGCATGTCCAATTGCTGGGGATCTGGGCTAAACCGGCAGTCGGACATCCCCCAAGGAGTCCCAGATAGAGAGGGTGCAAGGCTGGGCTGAGGGATTCTCCCACCCCTCATGCATGAATTTCATGC